GCGCTTGTGAGGTGAGTGTTGATGAGGAAGGCAGCAGGTGATGAGGAAGGCAGCAGGTGACCAGGAAGGCAGCAGATGATGAGGAAGGCAGCAGGTGACTAGGAAGGCAGAAGGTGACAAGGAAAGCAGCAGGTGATTAGGAAGGCAGCAGGTGACTAGGAAGGCAGCAGGTGACTAGGAAGGCAGCAGATGATGAGGAAGGCAGCAGGTGATGAGGGAGTCAGCAGGTGGTGAGGAAGGCAGCAGGTGACTAGGAAGGCAGCAGGTGACTAGGAAGGCAGCAGGTGACTAGGAAGGCAGCAGGTGACCAGGAAGGCAGAAGGTGACAAGGAAGGCAGCAGGTGATTAGGAAGGCAGCAGGTGACTAGGAAGGCAGCAGATGATGAGGAAGGCAGCAGGTGATGAGGGAGTCAGCAGGTGGTGAGGAAGGCAGCAGGTGACTAGGAAGGCAGCAGGTGACTAGGAAGGCAGCAGGTGACTAGGAAGGCAGCAGGTGACTAGGAAGGCAGCAGGTGACTATAAAGGCAGTAGGTGACTAGGAAGGCAGCAGGTGATGAGGAAGGCAGCAGGTGGTGAGGAAGGCAGCAGGTGGTGAGGAAGGCAGCAGGTGGTGAGGAAGACAGCAGGGATGAGGAAGGCAGCAGATGATGAGAAGGCAGGAAATGATGAGGAAGGCAGCAGGTAATGAGGAAGGCAGCAGGTGACTAGGAAGGCAGCAGGTGGTGAGGAAGGCAGCAGGTGGTGAGGAAGGCAGCAGGGGATGAGGAAGGCAGCAGGTGATGAGGACGGCAGCAGGTGATGAGGAAGGCAGCAGGTGATGAGGAAGGCAGCAGGTGATGAGGAAGGCAGCAGGTGATGAGGGAGTCAGCAGGTGATGAGGAAGGCAGCAGGTGATGAGGAGGGCAGCAGGTGATGAGGAAGGCAGCAGATGATGAGGAAGGCAGCAGGTGGTGAGGAAGGCAGCAGGTGGTGAGGAAGGCAGCAGGTGATGAGGAAGGCAGCAGATGATGAGGAAGGCAGTAGGTGATGAGGAAGGCAGCAGGTGATGAGGGAGTAAGCAGGTGACTAGGAAGGCAGCAGGTGATGAGGAAGGCAGCAGGTGATGAGGAAGGCAGCAGGTGATGAGGAAGGCAGCAGGTGATGAGGAAGGCAGCAAGTGACTAGGAAGGCAGCAGGTGATGAATAAGGCAGCAGGTGACTAGGAAGGCAGCAGGTGACTAGGAAGGCAGCAGGTGACTAGGAAGGCAGCAGGTGACTAGGAAGGCAGCAGGTGACCAGGAAGGCAGCAGGTGACTAGGAAGGCAGCAGGTGAATAGGAAGGCAGCAGGTGACTAGGAAAGCAGCAGGTGACTAGGAAGGCAGCAGGTGACCAGGAAGGCAGCAGGTGACTAGGAAGGCAGCAGGTGATGAATAAGGCAGCAGGTGACTAGGAAGGCAGCAGGTGACTAGGAAGGCAGCAGGTGACCAGGAAGGCAGCAGGTGACTAGGAAGGCAGCAGGTGACTAGGAAGGCAGCAGGTGACCAGGAAGGCAGCAGGTGATGAGGAAGGCAGCAGGAGACTAGGAAGGCAGCAGGTGACCAGGAAGGCAGCAGGTGACTAGGAAGGCAGCAGGTGACTAAGAAGGCAGCAGGTGACTAGGAAGGCAGCAGGTGACTAGGAAGGCAGCAGGTGACCAGGAAGGCAGCAGGTGGTGAGGAAGGCAGCAGGGGATGAGGAAGGCAGCAGATGATGAGGAAGGCAGCAGGTGGTGAGGAAGGCAGCAGGTGACTAGGAAGGCAGCAGGTGACCAGGAAGGCAGCAGGTGATGAGGAAGGCAGCAGGAGACTAGGAAGGCAGCAGGTGACCAGGAAGGCAGCAGGTGACTAGGAAGGCAGCAGGTGAATAGGAAGGCAGCAGGTGACTAGGAAGGCAGCAGGTGACTAGGAAGGCAGCAGGTGACTAGGAAGGCAGCAGGTGACTAGGAAGGCAGCAGGTGACTAGGAAGGCAGCAGGTGGTGAGGAAGGCAGCAGGTGGTGAGGAAGGCAGCAGGTGGTGAGGAAGGCAGCAGGTGGTGAGGAAGGCAGCAGGTGGTGAGGAAGGCAGCAGGTGGTGAGGAAGGCAGCAGGTGATGAGGAAGGCAGCAGGTGGTGAGGAAGGCAGCAGGTGGTGAGGAAGGCAGCAGGGAATGAGGGGAGCAGCAGTAATGAGAGAGATAGAGGGAGACTGCACAAATATGAGTGGAAGTTATTACACTCCTGGACCATATAATTTACAATTACTGGACGGTGGTAGAAGGGAGAGATATTTATGTATGGGATTTGACGCACGTGTTTAAATATTTACATTAGACAACGAAATATTATATATATATATATATATATATATATATATATATATATATATATATATATATATATATATATATATATATATATATTATATTACGGCACTTTTAATTTCCTCAAGTGTCGTAATTTTAACGTTATGGTCGGCAGCCCTGAAATGCATTAGGGAGAGATGACAGGACTGGGAGAACTGACAGCTCAACCTGTCATCTGTCATTTATCTCTCTCTCTCTCTCTCTCCTCTCTCTCTCTCTCTCTCTCTCTCTCTCTCTCTCTCTCTCTCTCTCTCTCTCTCTCCTCTCTCTCTCTCTCTCTCTCTCTCTCTCTTCTCTCTCTCTCTCTTGTCATTAAGGCATAAACATAATGTAAAATGCAGGGCAATTGCTGATTCGATGCAACCCTATTGGTCCACACGAAGTAGTTCCTATTGGTCCATAACAACGAGGCAGTTGCTACATATATATCCAGCCAAAACCTTTGCTGGAAGTGCACAAGGTACAAGGGCGTTCATCAGGATGGCCTCAGTAATTACCGTCAACATTCTCAAATCTCCGACAGAAACTGCAGGTTCAGGAGGGAACATGAAGCTTAAGCTTGAGCTGGAGCCAAGCTGCTCTAAGCACACCAAATACTTTAATCATTCTCAGAGTATGCGAAGAACATATTCTTTATTGGGCCTTCGATAAATATGTTTTATTTCAACACACTCTCAGAGCTTCTGTATATTCTTAAAAGAACCAGGACGAGAGATAATTTGTGAACAGTGCCTCCCGGTTCGAGCCCCAGGTTGGATGTGGATGTTTGGGAACGTTTCCTTTCATCTGATGCATCTGTTCGCGTAGCAGTAAACAGGTGCTCATGTAAAATCCTGGTTTCTGCCTCGGAGAGGCTACGGGATCCAGTAAGTTCAGTAGAACTTCGGTTTCAACTCTTTTACCCTGTCGTAGCTCAGTCGATCAAGGCAGTGTCTGGGATGCTCCCGGACGCAGGTTCGAATCCTCGTCACGGCCCTTGTGGATTTGTTCAGGTACCCATGAGTTAGGCAGGTGTTGTGGTTTGCGTCCTTGGGGAAGGTCATGTAGTTGACCAAGACGAGCCACGATAAGCCTCGACTACTGGAGGAAAATGTTATCTATCGCAGGAGAGATAACCAAGTCTTAGCTCAACCCGGAGATGAGATGCCCGGAGCGGGGGAGGCAGCCTCTACTGAATTTCGGTAGCTTGATTGCTCTTCTTAATCCAGAGAGTAAGTAAATAGAAGCACAGAAAGCTTATATGATCAACAACGCTTATATGATCAACAACGCCAGCAATTAGTTCATAGTTAACCAAATATGCTTAAAGAAACACCATTTGCCTTATATTGTTGGTTGGGGCCGCAACAGACACAAGTCTGCAACAGGAATACATCTTGATCCACAGAAGTTCCGTATTGCAGATGCCCTCCGCCTTGCTGCCTCTATCCACACTGTATACGGGAGTGTTTATGGCGAGGCAGATGCAGATGAATATGGGTTGCATGGGCTGCAATGTGGGAAATCCAAAAAGTGGCAAACTAGACACAACGAAGTAATTGACTTCATCAAGAGAAGCCTCTGCCTAGTGTCCAGCAGAGAGAGAGCCTCTTAATCTAATGTACCGCAATTCTACTGCTGTTACTAATCAGCTGGATGGGGTCACATTGCGCCCATGGAGAGATGGCAGACTATTAGTGTGGGACTGTAGTTGTTTATCCACCTTGGCATCCACTTGCATTACCAGCTCTGTTGGTCTAACAGAGCTGCTGCCACATTCACAGAGAAACAGACAAAGCAGACAAGTACAGGGAAATAGATCACCATTTCAACTTTGTTCCTATAGGGTACGAGACCCTTGGTCCAAGGTTGAATGTTCGCGGAGATTTCTCGAAAATATGGGATCCAGATTCATTGAAACAACAAGAGACCCGAAAGCAAAGAGCGTCTGTTTCCATCGCCTCAGGGTGGCGATCCAGAGAGGAAATGCCCGCTGCCTCCTCGATTCCTGCCCGGCGTTGAAGGAGTCTTCAACGATTGGTCATGTGACCATACTGATCAAATGGTCATATTCTCCGACTGAGAACACGACCATAAGTATTACGTCAATGATTCTTTCACGAAATAACTCCATATTCCAGGAAGGTGAAATTAAAGAATTATCTCAACAAAGTATATGTTCCACCTTAATTACACTGACCAGAGTCACTGAAGAGAATAATTATCCCGAACAGCAGAAATATTTGACGTAAGAGTTAATGAGAGACGAGTTGCTTCCTGGACATTATATATCTCAATTCCGACGTCATAAGGGTTCTCGATGGACCGAAACGTCGTCACGACGTCAAAAGAATCCACGATGGACGAAAACTGCGTCACTTTCCTTTCACATGTGTAAGTTGGATTGCTTGGTATAAAAGCCAAATCATTCTGACTTATTCCCAGCATATGGAGGCTGTTGATAACTGGGTAGGTTCGCTGGAGTGAGACCCGCCTGATGAGCAGCACACGAGAGTTGGGGGTTCGTATCCTCCCCATAATGGGGTACTGGAAAGAGGGGCACCGCAGTCAACCTTGTAAACCTCTACCCACAATGGAAGATCAGTCGCCCCTTATTTAGACTCCATTATATTTCAAGGCCGAAAATTCCTGCGCGATATTCAAGGTGTCATCATGAATCTGTTATTGCTCCATATTTCTCCAGGTAAATATGGAGGCGAAGCTAGCCAGGGATAATGACATATAATGCGCTCCATAAACTAGCGAAGGGCGAGTATTATCAGCAATGAAGAACTGGTAGTATTGCCAGGCAGTATGCGCATGGTGGCCTGAGACTGCCTGATACGACCTCTCCCAACGATTGATGACCCCAAGGTCAAGATGGTTTGGTGGGTGGTGTTATATATTGCTAGAGGGAGACGAGTTCTAACGCCAGGGGATACTGTGGCCGAGCTGTGCATGTCTGAATACTTGCCAGAATAAATTATAGTAAATGGGTGAGTTTACAAACGTTTAGAAATGCTCAAACCCGAACGTAAGCTTAAATACACGTTAAATACATACATTCACGAACACACACACACACCTGTTGATTGACGGTTGAGAGGCGGGACCAAAGAGCCAGAGCTCAACCCCCGCAAGCACAACTAGGTGAGTACAACTAGGTGAGTACACACACACACACACACACACACACACACACACCACACACACACACACACACACACACACACACACACACAACACACACACACACACCACACACGCACACACGAGGCTAACTAACATCAGGAACCTGTGTAAGAAATCTTTCAGAACCTTGTTCTACGTATGTAAGGCCTGGAGTATGCGGCCCCAGCATGGAGCCCGTACCTTATCAAGAACAAGACGAAATTAGAAAAAGTTCAGAGGTAGGCCACTAGGCTAGTCCCAGAACTAAAAGGCATGAGTTACGAGGAAAGGCTGAGGGAACTGCACCTCACGTCGCTGGAAGACAGAAGAGCTCGGGGAACATGATCACCACATACAAAATTCTCATGGGAATTGGCAAGGTAGACAAGAATGGATTATTTAATACGGGTGGTAAACGCACAAGGGGACACAGGTGGAAAGTGCGTACCCAAATGAGCCACAGATATTAGAAAGAACTTTTTCAATGTCAGAGTAGTTAGTAAATGACTAGGAAGTCATTTAGCACTAGGAAGTGTTGTGGAGGAGGCTGACTCCATACACAGCCTCAAATGTGGATATGATAGAGGTCGAGAAGCTCAGGAACCTGTACACCAGTAGATTGACGGTTGAGAGGCGGGACCAAAGAGCCAAAGCTTAACCCCAGCAAGCACAACGAGGTGAGTACAACTAGGTGAGTACACACACACACACACACACACTCACAGAAGATGACATAGACAAACTGAAGGAATGATCCCACAAATGGCTACTAAAGTTCAACCTAAGTAAATGTAAGGCAATAAAACTATGTGGAGGGAATAGGAAGCCAGACACAGGGGAACCGAAGTCCTCCAAGAAATGGACAGAGAGAAAGATCTAGGAGTTGATATCATACCGAACCTGTCTCCTGAAGCCCCCATCAAAATAATATGATCAGCGGCGTATGCGAGGCTGGCTAACATCAGAACTGTCATTAGAAACTTGTGTAATGAATCATTTAGAACCTTGTATACAACATATGTAAGACTAACCCTTGAGTATGCAGCTCCAGCATGGTACAGCCCATAACTTAAGCACAGAACGAAGCTGGAGAAGGTTCAAAGGCATGCCACTAGACTAGTCCCAGAACTAAGAACCATGAGTTATGAGGAAAGGCTGCGTTAATTGCACCTCGCGCCGCTGGAAGACAGAAGAGTTCGGGGAGACATGGTCACCACATACAATATTTATCAGGGGAATTGAAAGAATAGATAAGAGTAGATTATTTAACACAGGGGCCACACACACAAGGGGACGCAGGTAGAAACTGAGTTACAAATGGTTTTACAAATGACCGTTCATGTTTACCAAATTTCCTGTCATTTTACTCCAGCATAGTTGAGGCAGTTGATAGTGGTAAGGATTATGATGTTGTGTACCTTGACTTAAGCAAAGCTATTGATACAGTGCCACATGAAAGACTGATTAAAAAAATAGAAGCTCGTGGTATTGGGGGTGATATATTGAGTTGGATTAGGGCATGGCTATTCCAAAGGAAACAGAGAGTTAGTATAAATGGGTTAAGTCAGAGTGGGGTAATGTTGTTAGTGGAGTGCCTCAAGGCTCTGTCCTGGGACCTCTGTTGTTTATAATATATATAAATGATTTAGATTCAGGTTTCAGTAGCAACATCTGCAAATTTGCAGATGATACAAAAATCGGTAGGGAAATTAACACGGAAGAAGACTCTCTATCACTTCAAGTTGATCTAAATAGGGTTTGAAATGGTCAAAAGATTGCAGATGCAGTTTAATGCTCATAAAATGTAAAGTTCTGAGGCTAGGTAATGATGATAGAGTTACAAGATACGAGCTAGATGGTGTTGAGATTGCGAAGTCGGATTGCGAAAGGGATCTGGGAGTTATGATTAGTAAGAATTTTAAACAAAAGGATCAATGCATGAATGTTCGTAATAAGGCAAATAGGACACTGGGATTTATTAATCGAAGCGTTAGTAACAAGACACCTGGTGTGGTTCTTCAGCAATATCTTGCTCTGGTTAGGCCCCATTTAGATTATGCAGTTCAGTTTTGGTCGCCGTACTATAGAATGGGTATAAATTTACTTCAACGTGTCCAGCATAAAATGACTAAGTTAATTCCCCAAATTAGAAATCTTTCATATGAAGAAAGATTAACAAAGCTTAAATTGTATTCACTGGAAAGGCGAAGAGTTAGGGGTGACATGATAGAGGTTTACAAGTGGATGAATGGACATAACAGGGGGGATATTAATAGGGTATTAAAAGTATCAACACAAGACAGAACGCGAAACAATGGGTATAAATTGGATAAATTTAGATTTAGGAAAGACTTGGGTAAATACTGGTTCGGTAACTGGGTTGTTGATTTGTGGAACCAATTACCATGTAACGTTGTGGAGGTGGGGTCCCTCGATTGTTTCAAGCGCGGGTTGGACATGTATATGAGTGGGATTGGGTGGTTATAGATAGGAGCTGCCTCGTATGGTCCAATAAAGCCTTCTGCAGCCCCTATGTTGATCCCGTATGTATCCCCCCATGTTTTCACCTTCATTGTATATCACCTGACCTAATGCGGGTATAAAATCAACTAGTATTGTAAGATCTGTTCACTTGAGAATGAACCATGGAGGTTCGAAACGTCGTGCAAATTATACAAATAAGGGTAATACACTATATAGTAAATCACTTCTTTTCTTCACCTTAAAAGTACGAAAATGAGTTTTGGAGAAGAACTCTATTTCAATATATAAAATATTATATATTCACCCTTTGGTTCTGTAAACAGAGCAGTTTCCAGTACGCAAACTCACTATGCCTGGAAACTTTTATAAAGCACGGAATCCGTATTTGATCCTCTGAGATTACTGATAAACTCAGGGTTAGCGAGAGTTAGTTCCGGGGTCAGTTTTTGGAGTCAGTGGTGTCTGATGGTGTTTTATGGGGTGAACTGACTCTGGGGTGTGTGTCAGGGGTGTACTGGTAATGATCTTTGTGGGGTGTAGTTTAATATGTTACAGTGAATTGGCTGATCTCTGGAGGGGGTGTCGTGGAATATAAGCAACCTATTCTGCGACAATGAACGTCGCTTTTCGCACGTAAGGGTTACATAAGGCCAAACAATTGTCGTATTAGAAAATGCAAGTTGCTGGTGAAAGTGACGTTCTGTCCCGTTTTCTGTTTTGGGTCCTCTGGTAGGTTAGGAGAGGACACTTTTCATTGACCGTTTTCTTGACGTTGGGGACCTTAGGAGGACGGACTGATGTGTTAGGATGTGCTGGCTAGAGTCTCTCTAGTGTGTCGTGGTAGTGTGTAGTAGTGTGAGCCTGCCGGGATCTCTCTAGGGTGTGGTAGTGTGTATTAGGGTGAGCTGAGACGCTTATAACGACGAGTATTGTTAGAGGCAGACTGATGTAGAGACGAGAGAGAGAGAGAGAGGAGAGAGAGAGAGAGAGAGAGGAGAGAGGAGAGAGAGAGAGAGAGAGAGCGAGAGAGAGAGAGGAGAGAGAGAGAGAGAGAGAGAGAGAGAGAGAGAGAGATGAGGAGAGGAGAGAGAGAGCGAGAGAGAGAGGAGAGAGAGAGGAGAGAGAGAGAGAGATGAGAGAGGAGAGAGAGAGAGAGAGAGAGAGAGAGAGAGAAGAGGAGAGAGAGAGTGAGAGAGAGAGATGAGAGAGACAGAGATGAGAGGAGAGAGAGAGAGAGAGAGACAGAAGAGAGAGAGAGAGAGAGAGAGAGAGAGAGAGAGAGAGAGAGAGAGAGAGAGAGAGAGACAGAACAGACAGACAGACCGACAGACAGACAGACAGACAGACAGACAGGTAGACAGGTAGACACAGTCAAACAGAGAAATAGCCAGAAACACAGATCCCAGCAGGAAAGACCTGTCTTTGAAGAAGTCACCTGAGAGCTGGAGTGGCAGCGTTCAACAGAAGAGAAGGAGTTTCTCAGCCTCTCACAGAAGGATCATAAACCTCCAAAAAATAATAAACCTCCCTTTGAGGTTTGAATGGAATAATAAAACCTCCCTTTGAATTCGCCTGAGTGTTTACCAAGTCTTCGCTGTATGCCCCCCCCCCCTTTCCTCCGTGGCAGCCTTCTTCAGACCAAGCCAAGTTAAGCGACTTAGATTTCCTGAAAGAAGATGACGCTTCTCTTTTCATTTTTAACGTTTGGCTGACAAAATAATGATATATATAAAACCCTATAGACATCATAAGACACTACACTTTTCCCTTTGGTGGGGCATATGAGGGGTCTATGCCACAGCCAAGTGCACACGTTCGGACACGGGAGGGAGGGACACGTGGGCGCCTTTCAAGAAATATGTAAACAACAACATTAAGGGACAAGCCTTGTGAATGAAGAGCATTAATGGCGGCTCTCGACGCTTATCACGTGAGCTGGTAGCATGTGATGAATGAACATTCAAGGAACCTCTCTCATTGACACTCAGTACCTTGATATCAATGCTTATCAGGATCATAATAACATACTGTCCTAATATTTTTTTTGATTTTCCGTGAATGCCAGCA